AAGACACAAATTTGACTAACAAGTTATAAGTACATGAGTCCAAAAATTATGGAAAAGTAAAAGAAAAGATTCTTTCATTGTTTTACAAACCCTCCCCAAGGTCCCCTCCACCATGCAGCCCTCACCCTAGTCTCCTGTGATAAATTTTGCTATTCTGACTGGGTTGAGATGATATCTCATAGTTGTTTTGATTTGCATTTCTCTTAGAGCTAAGAATTTTGAACATTTCTTCATGTACTTGTTAGCCATCTGAATGTCTTCTTTGGTGAAATGTCTGTTCATATCCTGTGCTCATTTTGCTATTGTATTATTTACCTTTATCTTGTTGTTGTTTGATAAAAATAAATTTTTGTAAATAAATATACAACAACACTTGGACATTTCATTAGTTTCTACTTGAACATCTTGTTGTTGTTAGGTGCTGTTAAATCAAGTACGACTCATAGCAACCACATGAACAACAGATCTGAACCCTGTCCTATCCTGTGCCATCCTCACTGTCTCTGATACACTTGGGCCCATTGCTGCAGTTACTCTGTCAATCCACCTACTTGAGGGTCTGTCTTTCACTGACCCTCCACCTTTCCAAGCATGATATTTTTAACAGAGTTCTGCCATGTTGGATAAGTAATTTACAACATGCCCAGAGTATGTGAAATGTATCTTTATCTTGTCTTTGCCTCCAAGGAGCACTCTAGCTGTGCTTTTCTCTAAGACATATCTTTGTAAAATGTACAATGATCCCATTATACATTTTAGTGATGTTGTTAAGTGCCGTTGAGTTGTAGATGACTCGTAGTGACCTTAGGAACAAAAGACCTGAACATATATAACTTTGGTCGTTTCTCCATGTTCATAGAATTTGTGGAGGCAAGCCATTTCAGAAGTGGATGTCACTCCTGCTTCCAAGCTTGTTTTAATCAGGAAGCTCCACCAAACAGTGTCCACCATGGGTAGCCATTATCGCATTTGGCACCTTGTTGTCACAGTATTTAGTATCACAGCTACCACAGGTTACCTCTGTACAGCAATGCACAGACCAGTGCTATGTCACTTAGAACAAAACATTGTCAAACATGACAAAAAACAGTTTAAACTAGGCCCGAGAGTTTTTAAATAGGAGGTCATGTCCTCTCACAAATCAACATTCCAACCTGATGCTCACCAATCCCAGCCAACAAGCTTCTGTAGAATCCAGCTCCTGCAGATGACTTTCAGAATGGATATTTTTCAAGTTAGGTAACCATTTTTATTATATTTTTCCAAATTATCTCACCACTACTCACATGCCTCCAGGGCGCTCTAAGCACAAACCTCCCTTTTCCTTCTTCCCACACCAGGTAACTTTTTATTTCTCTGTACTTTATTACATAGGTTGATACCACACAACATTTGTGGCTAACTTAAATTTACTCAGTGTAATGTCCTTAGTTTCTTCCATGTCATGGCAAGTGTACAACAAGACTTCATTTATTTATTTATTTATTTTAGAATTCTCACTTCTCTTTAATCACTGATACTCAGCTTTTACAAATAATCTTGGAACAAGTCAGGTAACGAAGGTTCTCAGGGCAACTGGTGGTTCTTTACAGGAAGAACTCGGTGGTACATGCTCTGGTTCTCTGCAAATGACTCTACGAACTTGACCAACAAACAGTCACAGAAACAAAAAAATTTAAAGCCATAAATCACTGCATTTACAGTAACAAAAAAGCCATAAACAAACATGCATTTCTTCTTTCTCAAGGATTTCAACAGATGTTTAAACATTAAGCCAGTGACAATTCTAAAACATAACGAAATTCTAAGTTAAGGCTTTATGTTTGTTTTGAAACCCATATTCATAGGCAACTCACAGAAGACAACTCTGTCGTCTGTTAAGCTGAATTCGTAAGCCAGGAAATAGGTTCATCCCTTCTCAATGATTTCTCCATGTCTCCTATCTAGAGTGTGACTTCGTAGCCTCTACCACCATTTGCCTTCAGTGAATTAGCCTCTTCGTAGGTTTTGTTTTGAGGATCCACCCTTCAAGAGCACAAGCTTGAACAAGAGAAGAGAGAGCATCGTCTCTGTAAACGTAGGAACTTTGCCAATTGTGGTGAATCTGATTTTTCTGAAAGTTGGCATCTCCTACATAAAGTCCAAAAGCATAACTGGCCATACTCCCATTTTGAAAGAGTATAGGTCTTTTTCTTTGAAGAAGACTGGTGTCACTCTTCTGAGTAAAAAACAAACAAACCACAAAACTACTGTATTTTCGAGGGATTTGTAATTGCTGGCCCTAAGGCACACACATGGGTATCCTTGCCGGTCCAGTGTCTCCCTGAAGGAGGTAATGAGAGTGGATGGGAGGGAGGGAGTCGCCTGAAGGAACTGCACATTGCACTTGCCCTGGCCAGCGCAGCAGAGGACGGGCACTGAAAGCTTAAGGGGGGGATGTCTGTTTCTCTTGCTGCTTTTAGACAAAACTCTGAGGCAGCCTGTGGTTGCATCTTGGGAAGCAGGTCTGGAGCATCGCTCTAGGCTACCTGGAAGGGGCAGGAAGGTTGTTTGTGGGGCAGGTCCCACGGGTTGATGACTTAACTCTTACTTAGACTGGAAAGATCACTGTTTACTTGTGAGAACTCACTGTTACTCCCTCGCAGTCATTTTACAGCCACAGCTTCCTGTATGCTAATTTGGTTTCTGTGACAGCGTGTGTAGGGAGGGCACTGACCTCCACGAACACTGGTCCTGCCACTTCTGTCCATGGAGACACTCCGTGTGAATCGGGCTGTTACAGGATTGACTTCACTTATTTTTATGGCTGAGTAATACTCCATTACCACATTTTCCTTGTCCATCCATCAGTTGTTGAACACTTTGAAGTTTCCACCTTTGTTTATGAGCATTATTGCAAGTTATCTCTTTGCATCTCTGATTTCAAATCTTTTTTTATTTCAGTGTGGAATTACTGAGTCATATATGATAGTTGAACTTTCTGAGGCTTTGCAAAATGGTTTTCTGAAATGACTGTATAATTTTACATTTCCATCAGCAGTGGAAGTTTCCTGTTTCTTTACAACTTCAAAAGCACTTAGTATTTTTTTTTTTGTTTTTTGAGATATTTTCTTTCTTTTCTCTTCTGAGAAATTTTAAATTTTTTCCTGGAGTTGGAGCTGACGCATAGCTGACCCTCCAGTGAGTTTGGAAGTGTACTTGATGCAGTATGAGGTTGCTGATGTTTTCCCGATGGACCTTGTGGGGAATGCTAACCTTTGGGTTAGCAGTGCGGCTTCCTGAGGACTGCATAGCAGAGCTGCTGGTGGACATGGTTTGCCTGAATCTTCCTATTCTCGTTAGTGGGAGCTCGATTACTGCTGTGGAGTTCATTTTGACTCAGAATGATCCTCTTTTGCATGACTGAGGCTGTCCCACCTTTCTCTATTGGAACTTCTGGTGAATTTAAATCAACAAAAATATTTGACCATTAGATTAATGGTGCAATACACTGCAGCCTATACCACTAGTTTTGATTAGCCATAATATTTCATTTTCATGAGATTCTCCATGTACACTTTAAAGATTTTTAAGCATGTAAGTGTATGTCTGTAACCATGTAGCATAAGCATTAATGTTTTTTGACCATTTTTCTTTCAGCTAATTACATGGATAATTGGAAATGTACTGGGATTTTGAAAGGTAATGGGAGCCCAGTCAGTGGGAATTCTCAGCAGGGAAACACAAATCTTTCCCTGGGCTCAAATATCCCAAATCTACAGAATTCATTAAATGGCTCATCTACTGGCAGGTAGGCTGTGGGAGAACAAGAAATTATCTTCTTTAAAACTTTTGATGGTTAAAACAAAGACTAATTATTTTGTTTAATTAAACATGGAGTGAAAACTTTCCTAGTTGTCCTTTAAGTGAAAATTTATAAAGCAAATCAGTTTTTCATATACATTTTTATAATAATTGTAATATATATAATAAATTGCACTTTCCCCACTTCCTCCTTTTTGTTCTCGTTTCCATTAATCCTTCTTTTCTATGTCTGACCTTCAGGACTTTGAGTAAATGCTGCTCTTTTGACCTTCTAGGATTGATTATTTTAAGTAATGAGTGCCTCCTCCTTATTCCTGGACACCTTATATATAAGCCTGTCTGTTGTTTGCCTGAAATTTGAGGACTCTAGAGTTTAAAAATGCATTTTATTTTTTAGCTCTGTACTTTCTCAATCATTGTTTTAAAAGTAAGTTATTAGCTTTTTTTTTCTTCTTTTTTTAAAATGTATTCATGGTTGCCCATTTCCCCCCACTTCCTTCCCCTTTCAGTAGCCAACCCTACAATGTACTCCTTGTTCCAGATTATTTCATACATACAATGTTTAATCATATATTCCTTTCAAACAGTTCTTCCATTCAGCTGTATTTATCCGCTCTTTCCCTATTTTCTCTCCAACCGCCTCATGACTGTCCTATATTATAACTGGTGTTTTGCAGTATTTGTCCTTTTGTGACCAAGATATTTTACTCAGCATAATGTATTCCAGGCTTCCCCATGTTGTGTTTTATGAGTTCATTGTTTTTCAATGCTGCATAATACTCCATTATTTGAATATACCATATTTTTCCCATCCATTGTTTATTGAAGGCCATTTGGGTTGCTTCATCTCTTTGCTATTGTGAATAATGCATCAATAAACATGGGTGTGCTTACATCTTTTGAGTTGTGGCTCTGATTTCTTTAGAGGATATTCCTAGTAATGGAATTGCTGGGTCAAATGGTATTTTTATTTCCAGCTTTTCTGAGAAAGCGCCAGACCACCTTCTATAGAGGTTGTACCATTTTACATTCCCACTAGCATTCAATAAGGGTTCCAACCTCTCCACAATCTTGCCAGCATTTGTTGTTTGCTGCTCTACTGAACTTTGCTGTTGTTGCTGGGGTGAGATGATACCTTATAGTTGTTTTGAGCAAGTTATTAGCTATTAAACAAAAAAGTATTCTGAAATTGAGTAGTTCTATCATTAGAAATGTTTCTCTTAACATTTTTTAAGAGGAAGAGGAAATATTAATGAACCGTGAGGGTTTTAGTTATAACAACAATGCTTTCCCCCCCCAATTAATTTAAATTAAAGTTTACAGAGACTTAGGGTTTCCAGTCATTCATTGTTGTACTTTTCTTCCTCCCCACTCCCTCCCCCCAATTCACTCTTCTCCTTGAAAATAAAAAGAAAAATTCTTTTGTTGTTATGTAGTCCCTCCTCCCAAATCCACTCCACTCTGCATCCTTCACTCTGGACTTCTGTAATGACAAGAATACCCATTTATATATCCTTTTTAAACAGTTCTTTCCCTCATCTGTTTCAATGCAGTATACATCATTCCTCCCCTCCATTTCTGTCTTCCCTCAACCCTGATGTCTGTCCCGTTTTAAAATAGTAGCCCTATGCAATATTTGTCCTTTTGTGACTGAGATATTTTCACTCAGCATAATGTCCTCCAGGGTCATCCATTTTGCATCATATTTCATGAGTTCCTTGTTTTTCAATGCAGTGTCGTATTCCATTGTCTGAATATACCAGAGCTTCTCCATCCATTTGTTTGTTGATGGACACTTGGGTTGTTTCACAACAATGCTTTTGTTATTACTACTGGTAGTCTTGGATTCAGATAAGCTGATATGTTAAGTAAAAGAGATTTAAAGCTTTGTAGAAGAAAATAAGTTAGTTTTAGTTTTGTGTTTAGAACTTTAATGGAGAGGATTAGTAAAAGAAGGAATGGTAAGTATTGAGTTCTTAATTTGTAGAATACTAACATTTTAGATTCATGTTTCTTCTTAATAAAGAATACTTAATATGGCTTAAAGAATTACCTAATTTTATATTCAAATGTTAAATCTTGAATATATAAGGTTTATATTATTTTACTATGTCTTTGTGAGGAATTTGGAGTATGGTTGTGGGACTTCAAACACAGCTGACATACTGTTCTGTAGTCAGCCAGGGGGTTTTTTTGGGTGTTTTTTTTATTAAATTTTATTAATTTTTCCCTGTAAATGTTCATTAAAACTAATAAAATTTTAAAAAAAATTATTAATTTTAATGAACATTTACAGAGATTTTGGGTTTCCATTCATTCATTGTTGAGCCAGTTATTTTAATAAACAGAATTTAATTTAAAATATCCTCAGCTATTTTTGCATTGGGGAAATCTGTTATCACAGACCTCTCCAAAATTCTAAACAGCAAGGATGTCCATTTAAATTTAGTGTCCTTGAACCAGGCCATGGTATTTTCACTTGCTTATGCATCTGAAAGTTAAAACAGTGAATAAGGACGACAGAAGAATCAGTGAATTTGAATTGTGTTGTTAGTGAAGAGTACTTAGTATTTTATGAGCTGCCAATAGAATAAACATCTATCTTGAAACAAGTGCAACCAGAGTCTCCTTGAAGGCAATGATGGTGAAACTTTATCTCCTTTACTTTTGGGCAAAAATTTAGGAGAAATCAGTCCTTGGAGAGAGATACCATGGTGGGAAGGTAGACAGTCAGTGAAAGAAGACAACTTTCAAGGAGTGGGATCGACAGCAGTGATTGCAACCATGGGCTTGAGCAAGACAGATGATAAGGATGGCACAACATTGGAAAAGCCTTGGATCTGCTGTTCATCATGGTCAACTTGAGGACACCTAATAATAAATAATATTTTTGTATTTTATATTTTTAGAAAGAATAACTATTTTTTAAAGAATAACTATTTATATAGTTTACTTTTTTGTTTCCTTTGCATTGTTTTTTTGTTGTTATTGTTTGCTTACAGTGTTTATATACATTGTCTCACACTATATTCACATTGTGTTTCATACAATCATTCTCATGCATTATGTTTTACAAAATTAATCACCATTGGACCTTCCCTGTCATTGTTATTATGTCACCGAGTTGCCTGCGACTAATAGTGACCCTAGGTACAACAGCCGTACAGCATGCTCTATCCTGTGCCAATCTTATTGTCTCTGACACACCTATTCCCATTACCTTAGTCACTGAATCAATCCATCTTATAGAGAGTCTTCCTTTCTTGCACTGTCCCTCCACCCTCCCAAGCATGTTGTCCCTCTCCAGGGACTTGATCCCTTCTTGCAACATGTCCATAGTATGTCAGATGGAGCTTCAGAATCCTTGCCTCCAAGGAGCAGCCTGGTCCCACCCTCTGTAGGACAAACCTGTTTGTTCTGGCAGCACCACAGCTCAAGGGCATCAATTCCTCTTCTACCATCCCTAGTCATTGTTCAGCTTTCTGATGCATAGCAAGTAACTCCAAAGACTGTCGCCTGGATCAGGCACACCTTAGTCTCCAGACTGACACCATTGCTCTTCAGTACTTTGGAGAAGTCTCTGGCAGCCGACTTTCTGAGTACAATTTGTTCTGTTATTATCCTGTCTTTTCACCCAGATCCTTCCCATTTTCTTACCCCCTCTTCCTCTACCCAACAAACTGTGCAACCCCTCCTCACCTCTTATTTTATATGTGTTTATAAAAATAATTTTAGGTTACCATAGAATGATACTGGAATTTGAAGATGACTTCACAAAACAAAAGAATATTGCTGTTCATTTTTTTTAGAACTCTGGGTTTGATTATTGTCTTTGCTGCTTGTGTCTTTGTGTGTACACCAAGAAGTAAATAGCTTAGACCTGAGATGCATTTCTTTTTCCATTTGTTTCTTTCTTCCTTTAACAGAAAGCACAGCTGAGTACACATGAACTGGAGTAACTTTTAAGTTTGATTGCATGTTACATGGACACCAGAATGGAGAACAGCTACTTTTCCTCTTTCACAGAGCCAACTGACCTAAGAAGCAGCAGCACCCTCTTTACTACTAAATGCAATCAAATGGACTTGTAAAAATATAATGTATACTATTTTTCTGTATTTGCCAGCCTATTGACACTATTTGAAATATTTAAAAATACTTGGAGACTTTATTATAAGTTACTATCTCTGAAACTTTTTTTAATTTGTTCCTGAAATTAACAGAAAATAACACATTTTTCCAATTGGATAATACAGATTTTTTTCTTTTGTTTTCTAGAATGGTAAGCTAAGAAGATGAGTTTCTAGAATTTTACTTTGAAGATTAAATAATCTTTAAAGATTATGTGGAATGCTAGCTTTTTTACTTTGTAGAATTGGCTTGTGCAATCATTTAATGTAACTTAAAATTTGTAATATTAAAAGATTAGCAGCAATATAAGAAAAGCTATACTAGTAGAATGAAAGTAATTTGTTTTGTATCTAGGATAAATATTGGGTTGTGCTTATTTGTTATTTGATAACAATGAAAACATTTTGTTAAGTTTCTAATTCATATTTAATAAATTTGTCTACTATGTATTTTTGCATACGTTACAGTGTGATTTTATGGCTTATGTTTTCCTGAAAATTAAAATTTGTAAATATAATTTGAGGAGGAGTTAAAATATTACTAAAATTGTGCATGCAAATGGGATGGAATTCTGTGGCCTAAGATTTACTGAATTAAATAATTATTTAGTTTAGAACTATGATCTTGATACAGAATAAAATGTATATGACAAAAGAGTAAACAATATCACAGTTCTTCAGCTCTTCGAATGGTCTGTAGCAGTTCAGATTTTTGCAGAAAACAGCTAGGTTCAATTAATTGTATTTCTTTTAAAAGTATATTCCAACTGCTATCTATATTTTCTCAAATTTATTTTAATTTGTTGTTACTGTCATGTATGCAGTAAATGCATGCTGTTGCTACAACTAAAGCATTGCTTAAAATGGAAAAAGAAGTTACATTTTAGAAATTTACAAGGTAGCATCAAATGTTTTTGACAGATGAGACCTTTTTAAGTTAATGAAGTTCATACTGACAATTTTCAAAAGCACTTTAGCTTTTCCCCATTGCATTTCTTCCAAGTATTTACACTTAGACAATCTTGGTTAACTTAAAATTTTTTTCATCTTATGTTGGTTTTGACATGTATTGCCAAGTTTTCTCTGCTTCTACCCCCCAGCCTGTCTGGTATGTTCTTTGATTTTCTTTGTGTTTACTGCTTTTCTCTTTTTCCTCTTGTATCCTGTTTTGATGTTCTTGTCCTCATTATATCAGGTATTTCTTTTCTCCTCTGAGTTCCACAGTGTCTAGGTCCTCCTCACCCTCGAGATCTCTGGTTTAGCACTCTTGCAATACAGACTAACAGTGTGCAGTATTTTCACACTCACAGATGATACATCCTTGGGCCCTTAATCTATTACCTGAAGAGTGAATAGGTTTAAAAAAATTAAAAGCCTAATTTAAAGTTGGTCTTGCATGTCCTTTAACCAGAACACAGTGTTTGAAACCTCAATGTATTTGTACTTCCTCCCACCCCCACTCTCTTAATTTTTGGTGAAATTGGCGTTGACTTTCAGACTGGGAGATTACTGCTGGGGGTTTTTGTAGTCAGGCTGGGATCAAGTGGTGCTTGCTTATATCCATTGTACACATTCCTGCTACCTAGTATGCATATCCTAATTGGAGACTTAAATAGAGCAGTGTCAATTCATCAATTTTATATTCAGGTGTGCAGGATCAACTTCATTGTTGACTTGTCATCCTTGAATGTTGAGTCTGCCTTGTATTTCCATAGATTACACAAGTTTGGAAAATTTACTGGAGATAGACTCTTGTGCCCCTCTAATCACAGTGCTTTGAGGTATGAACACATATCCAATCCCTGCTTGTTGATCAGGTACATTTCATTTTCAACAATTCTTTTTATCCCTTGCTATACTCCTGGCAAAAGTACAGCTTCATAGTTATGTAAGGGATCATTTCAGCAGATCTAGCTGCAAGCCTTCCCTATTGGTCCAGCATTTTTATGACCAGAAAGATCAAGCAGCGCCTTAACAATTAAGGTATCACAACTTGCTGCGTGCTGCAATACTGATTCATGGGGATCTACACAAGTGTCCAAGCTCACTATAGATGAAGTTATTCCTGGTCTTACACTTGGAAATAAAGGCTTTGCATTTCTTCGAGATTTGCTCAAAGATGATAAACAAGGAGCAAGGTGCAAGCACTTGGTTATGCATTCATGCCCATCACCACTGGCAGCTGGTTAGTCAGTGACCCACAGAGCAGTTGGCCTATGATGGTCCGGAGATGGTAACAGCTGTGGGAGCACTGCATGGAGGGTGTTTTTTGTCACTGGCAGTGGCTCCAAAGGTCTTGGATTTGCCAATGTGGTCACTGCAGCCATCATGCATATTCTCGTGGAGGAAGAATGGGGCTGCATGTTGATGCCACCTGCTTCAGAGCCAGTGCCATTGTGTCCTGCCTGCTGGTACTTTTGCATCAAAAGTACATTTGCTGTTTTGATAAGTTTTAATGATATGTTCAAGCCACATTAAACTATAGTATCTCGCTTCAAAGTGCCTGTTCTGTAAACTTTATTTTGAACTGTTAATCTTGAGTTTTTGAAACTTTTTTATATGAGTTAAAGTGAAAATGTATCATCCTTTTTAAATTCTGTTGAAGATTCATTCATAGGGTCGCTATGAGTTGCCTACAACTCTACGGTGCTTGACAACATGAAATTCTGTCTTTGCCTTTGAGACATATTAAGAAAGGTTTTTAATTTTACATGCTTATGTTACAAGTAACTAGTATGTAAAATAAATTTTTTTTGTATATACAGCAGAAGAACATGGATTGTTCAGTTTTTCCCTGTTAATTGCCTTTTCCTACTGCAAATTACTGTGTAAACTTTTGTACTTATTGTTACAGTAAATTAGTTAATATGATCAGTCAAATATGATTTTAAAGTTGTGAATCTGTTGTCATATTAAAACATAGGGTTTTTTTCCTTAGGTTGTCTTTTATTAGGATGATTTAAATTAAAATTGAGAGTAAGAATGTGTTTTACTTGATAGTTGGCAAGACTTATATGGGGAGCTGTGGTGGCTTAGTGTTAAGGAGTTGTCCTGCTTAACAAAAAAGCAGGTGGTTGAAATCCACCAGCTGCTCCCTGGGGAAAAAGCTAGGTAGTCACTTCCCAATCTGTTTGCAGTGGGTTTTCAAAGGCTGGAAATAATGTTCGAATTGTTTGCCCTTCTTCCTTGGAACAGTTGGTGGATTTGAATCATGTACTTTTGTATTGGCAGTATGATTCCTTACCACTAAGTCCTCAGAGCTCCTTAAGTTAGACATTAGAATATATTCTTTTCTAAAATTATGTCTTGAAATTTTAATTGAGGATATATTTTACTGTAACAATTATACTTGTTGTTGATTGCCATTGAGTCAAGCATGGCTCATAGCTACACTATGAACCAAAGGCCTGAAGCCTTTCTATAACTTGTCGTTTCTCTAGGTTCATAGAGTTTCCAAAGGCATGTGGTTTCGGAAGTGGATGCCACTCCTGCATCCAAACTGGTCTTAAACTGTTAACTCCACCAAACATTGTCCACTATGGGTATTTGACCTCCCATGACACAAGGTTCAGCTTAACAGTAAACCCAGATTACCTCAGTACAGAAAATTGACAGAAGAGTGCTGTACAATTTAGAAGAATGTTCCTCCAAAATAATAAAACTAGGCCCTTGGTCCCAATCAACATTTAAATACAAAGGCCCTCCATATATATTATATGAACAAAAGCCCTGAAGCCTTTCTATAATTATAATTTCTCCAAGTTAATAGTCTTTCCAGAGGCATGTGGTTTAGGAATTGGATGCCACTACTGCTTCCAAACCTGAATCAATCTGGGAGCTCCACCAAACACTGCCCTGGATGGGTAGGTGTTTAACGCACCTATGACACAGTTGAAATACTTCAGTTGGTATACCATCTATTCCTGGGGCCTTATTTTTTGCGATTTCCTTCAAAGCAACTTGAACTTCTGCCTTCATCACCATAGGCTCTTGTTCATCTGTTATTTCATTAAAATTTTCTGTATCTGCCAATTCCTTTTATTACAATGACTCAGTATATTCCTTTCATCTTTTTTTAATACTTCCTGGATCATTTAATATTCTGCCTAAAGCATCCTTGATTATAGCAACTCTTGGTTTGAATTTGTTCTTCAGTTCCTTGAGCTTAAATGCTGAACAAGTTCAGCCCTTTTGATTTTCCGACTCTAGCTCCTCGCACATTTCATTGTAATATTTTGCTTTGTCATTCTGAGCTGCACTTTGGAATCTTCTGTTCAGCTCTTTAGTATCTTGAATTCTTCCTTGTGCTTTGGCTTCTCTACGTTCCAGTGCAATCTTCAGAGTTTCTTCTGACATCCATTTTGGTCTTGCCTTCCACTTCTGTCTTTGTAATGACTGTTTGCACTCTTCCTGGATGATACATTTTTTTTCTAAAATGATATTTTATTAATTTTCATAAACATTTACAGAGATTTTGGGTTTCCATTCATTCATTGTTGCACTATTCTCTCTACCCTCCTCCCA